GAGCGGAAGTGGCTGTACCTAAAAATCAGGTTGATACGCAAGTGCTAACAGTCATCACTATTTGAGAGCTAAATGTCAGTGCACAGCACGGAGTTCAAGTCAGCCCTTTTAAGAAGTGCATAAATGCCTGAATTGCACAACAGGTTACCTTCATTCCTCCAGCAACCGCACCGACTTCAGTGATTTTATTGGACTCCTACTCCCACCACGGTTTCATCTGATCTATTCTCAAATTAGCGTGTTGTGGTGGGTTGATCTTGGCCAGCCAGCCCACCCAGCCGCTCTCTCACCCCCCTCCTCAACAGGATGGGGGAGAAAATAAGATAAAAAAAGCTCAAGGGTTGAGATAAGGACAGGGAACTTACTTATCAATCACTGTCACAGACTCAACTTGAGGAAAATTAATTTAATTTACTGCCATATAAAATAGATTTGGGTAAGAAACACAGAAAAAAATTAGAACACCACCTCAGCGGTGCCTGGGCATGGGGCTGTTGGAACTGTTTGTGCCCAGCCCAGGGCAGCATCGGCCTCTCCTCACAGAGAAGCCTCAGCCCTGGCCTGGGCACGGGCACCCCGTACACATCTAAAAATCAAGTATTTCACTTCAAGTACCTGTTCTCAACCAAATGCAAAGGAAATCTTAACATTACAAGTAAAAGATTACATGTGATTACAATTACTACTAAAATTACTCTTACTAAAGAAACATTTAAAACCGGCATGATAACAGAAATAAAACATCCTTGAAAATATGCAAACTGTAGGTTACAGAGGCATTCAAACTAGCTTCTCTTGGTGCTTTTTGGATCAATTTTGCCTATGTGTTCTAGGAGAGCCTTACATCCTCCACGTACTCAAAAAAGAGGTCAGGAAGCCTCTGTCTGTAGTAACGGGGATAACACTTGGTACAACGCATCCAGAAGACCACCTACGTACGCACTGCTCGAGAGACAAGAAGGAAACCTCTTTGGAAATGATTTCACAGTGATGCAGAGTGGCTAACTTTTAAAAACAATCACTTCTTTGCTTCATACCTAATAAATCACTGTGTACGTGCATTAAGACCAGGCAAGTACAGGTTGTACAACATAGCTCAGTTTAAAGCTAGTTTAAAGTTGTTTCTATGAACAACATAGAAAAGGTCAGTCTGGCAAAAACCACTGGCTTATCCACACTCAACTTTGCATGTTGGTAATGGAGCTGGGGGAGGGTGGGGGGGGCGAGGAAGTAATTCCTGTAACCCCACAGGGCGCGTGTTTTGGCACGTGAAGCACACAGGCCCAGGCAGTAGAGCACTAGCTGATCTGGCTCCTTTGGGGTCTTCACCGTAGCAAGACAGGATTTACTGCGACTGCCCGGCTAACTGCCAAAGGCTCTCTGGAGGTGCCCCGAGAGATGAGCGCTATGCCCTTTCAATAAAAAGCCAATTTCTTTGTTAAAATGGATTTATTACATTGGTTCAGCTGGGCCATAAGCCTATCATTTTTTTAATATTAGCAAATTATATCTCAACAGAAAGATACAACTTTTAATACTAGTTTGTTTCAGTAACAACAGAAATCAGTTTCACCTTCAGTATTTCACGCTTGTATACGTGTGCAACTAAGGACGAACAAAATTTGGATCCAAATTAGGGTATCAATATTGCAGGCATGGACATTAAATAAAATTAGGCTTTCTGAACAAACATCACACTAGTGTAGTTGCTTAGAAGTAACGGTATGATAAGTCTTGCAGCTGAGTTTAATGCATGAGCCTCCAGTGAAAGAGGCATTTTGAGATTTTAAGCATGCAGCTTCTAAAATCCTGCAGTTCAGATGCCCAAAGCTGGTAGACAGGCTACGAGTTAATTTTCAGAAGTTCTGAGAAGTCAGTGGCACTCCAGAGAAATCGATGGCCTCAGTATCATTACAGTTCAGGCTATTTCCATCCCAGAAACCATCTACATGCAGATGAGCAAAGCCAGGTGCAAAACAGCCTGAGGAACTTGGAAAATCATCAGATTCCAATTTCAGATATATTTTAACTCTGTTGTTTCCATTTCCCCCCTTTTCACCACTATTTATACTTTGATCAAACCTAATGGCACTCAGTGCAACATTCAGCTTTGCAGGACCACCAGAGAGAGCTTGTGAGCTGCTGACATTAATGTAGCAACTTCTTTAATACAGAGTAAGGATGTTTGCTATTCTTGTAATTTGTCCTGAAGGTAAATATTTTTGACGCTTCATTAGGAAAAGATATATGACATCTCAAGAGTTGCGTTATGACTGTCAAAGAAGAGAAAGAGCTATACTTAATCTTAATATTACAGCAGTATACCTTCCTTTTGTTATCAGCAAGAAATACAGATGTCTCCTAAATTCCGCTATGATTGAGTACCGATAAATATGTATGATTTTAGGAATTACCAGGCCAAATTCAACCCTCCTGTAACTAAGCGTAAGCGTGCCCACACGAATGGAGTTTTGTTGGCATCACCGTGCGCTGCCTCCAGCCCTTACCCGTCCTCTCCCGCGGAGGAAGATGTGCAACTGCTGGGGCGATTCCTAACCCCACCAAAAAGCACATTACACCAGCCAGGTACCAGCTGAAATATGCTGCTCTAGGCCCTAACATTGAGGGTATTTACCACAAAGTCATTAACAGTTATTTTTTAGAACTTTCTTGGCAGCTACGTCTCTTGGAGCAAAAAGACCAATAAGCCGAGCGTTCTCGGTGACTACATCTCCTATACACGGACTGCCAGCACAACTCGCAGCAAGTCATTAGAAACGTTAAAATTCCTGGCAGTGCAGAGGCAGCAAAGAGACGGACGCTGTCGGTGCCGGGCTCGCTCTCAGACAAGCAA